ACTGACGATAACAATGTTCAACCATGACAAGAAATGCACAGCGGCACAAACCAAGGCAACAGAGAAACAAAGCAAACAGGAACTAAACCAATAAAACACAAGTTTAACACCCAAATGACGCACTAGACACTACTTACCTAATCAGTTTTATAAGGTTATTTTGTCATTCATCATCAGAGTCTGATTCCACACTTAAGTGCATCATCCGCATAGTTCAAGTGCACCTTCTTCTTTTGGGGATTTTCAGTGTGAACTGTGATCTAAGAAGGTTGTAAGTGACCTCAGAAACGACGCATATTATTCCTGCAGGTTTAAGGGTTGCCGCAAGGATGAGGTGCTTGGCATTGCCAATAATCGTCTAATCCGCATTGACTTGAGTGTCGGAGATGTTGTGAAAACCTGGAGATACAACACCATGAGGCAGTGGAACGTCAACTGGGACATCAAACAGGTCATCCGTCTTTAGTTCTACGCCAGTGAGATTTGTCAGGTTCCCCAAGCCCTCACGGTGATATAAATACCACTGCGTAAAATAATACATTCTTTCTGTATCTGTACCAGGTTGCCATCGAGTTTGATGGCAATGTGAACATCGCCTTCAGCTGTGTGACAGCAGATTGTAAGATTGTCCACGAGTACATCGGCGGCTACATCTTCATGTCCACGCGCGGTCGGGAGCAGAGCAACACTCTGAACGAGGAGCTGTTTCACAAACTGACAGGCGGCCATGAAGCGCTATGAGAGAAATACACATCTGTGCACCTATGGACTGAAGAGTGTTCATGCATAACCTAAAAAGCATACACATACAGATATGGCCATTCATGAGTTCTTCCCTTGAAAAACACTATGTTGTCTTGTGAGACCTGAGGTGTTTCGTTTTCTGACATTTAGCAGTGTGGCAGTTCTCTGTCGTCTTGTTTTAATTGGCTTTGATCATTCATGTCTTGCAGTTATTAAATTTTACTGTCAAAGCTTGTCAGCCTTTTGCTTTAATTCTGATGCATCTTATTGCTTAACTTCAGAGGTCAAGGTTTCGTGTTGTATTAATATAGTATGACAGTCTCGTGTTAAATACAGTGTTGCTAGGCGAGGAAACTGTGTTTGATTTGCAGCTCAAGTGTTAAAAAGGATACATGGTGGTGACATCATTTGTGGCAGGAAACCACAGTGCAAGTTTCACAAGCAATGCGTGTAGCAGACTATGAAGAACAGCATCCGGTGCACTAAGATTAATCCTGCAGACTTCAATTGCAATCATAAATAGCAAAAACATAGACACCTACTCAGAAGTTGTTGTTTTTTTGGATGTGAGACTCATTGCAATTATATTGCATCTCCTAAAAAACGTGAAATGTAGTTTTATTTTCCTGTCTACTGTTAATAACACCAGACCAGAGTATATATGTGACTCTGGAGCACAAAACCAGTCATAAGGGTCCATTTTTTTGAAATTGAGATGGATACATCATCTGAAAGCAGAATAAATAAGCTTTCCATTGATGTATTGTTTGTTAGGATAGAAAAATATTTGAAAATCTGTAATCTGAGGGTGCAAAAAAATCTAAATATTGAGAAAATCATCTTTAAAGATGTCCAAATGAAGTTCTTAGCAATGCATATTACTAATCAAAAATTAAGTTTAGATATATTTACGGTAGGAAATCTACAAAATATCTTCATGGAACATGATCTTTACTTAATATCCTAATGATTTTTGGCATAAAAGAAAAATGTATAATTTTGACCCATACAATGTATTGTTGGCTATTGCTACAAATATCCCCCAGCGACTTGAGACTGCAGGGTCTCACATATACTCAGCAACCTCTCAGAAAGAAAGCATCCCTTTTTCAGGTTTTTCAGTGGCACGTTTGGACCCAGTTTGTGAAATAGTGGTTGTGTGAGCGAGGAATAATGATGCAGCACAGACTCAGTCCTGATCTTAACACCACTGAAGCTCTTTTTACAGAATGGAGCGACTCTTGAGGGAAATACATGTTGTGAGGTTACATTGTCGAAATATGCTACAGTGAAAGAACAATGCTAAGTGCTCCGATGAAATATTATAGTGCACAACTTTTTATTTATTTTGGACAGCCAATGTAAGTTTCGTCTTCCTGAGAAATGTATTTATGTTTATATTATATTGTCATCATTATTTTGTTTTAAGGACTTAAAAATGGTTCTTCTCAGCCTTGATTGACATGGCAATAACAGTTAATAACGGGGAAAGTACATACAGGTAATATTGAAAAGAAGTGTAAACTAAAAAGAAGACTCCAGTACAGTAGGTGACGGTATGCACCTTTCCAGTTGGTTTGCAACCCGCCAATAAACACCGAAGAAGAAGAAGCGCGCAGATGTCTCGAGCTGAGCGTCAGGCGCCCCCTGCAGTTTTCTCTTTACCAGTGTTGCCAAGCCCGCGGTTTTCCCGCGGAATTAAGCTACTTTAACACTGTTGCCGCGGGTTGTTTTTCATGTCCGCGGATTTAAGCGACCCCAATAACGTGATATTTAGCCCTTTTTACCGGGGGATCCCCCTCGAAACGAGATCGGGCTAGTTTTGAGTAGCAAATGGGCGGGTTTTGTTGTGAAAACCTGGCAACCCTGCTCTTTACCCACAGTTCTGTGCGCCGGAGGCGCTGCGTGCGTGAGGAAGATGGCGGACTCCTCGGTAAGCTGCTCACAGTCTGCCTGCTTTTATGCTGTTTTAAGCCGCTCTCGCTGTGGTTTATGAAGGCGTTATCTCATCACAGGTCGAAATCATTGAAGGCTGCCGGCTTCCCGTGCTGCGGAAAAACCAGGAGAATGAAGACGAGTGGCGTAAGTATCCTCCGCAGCTCCGCGCCGAATGTAAACAAAAGACACGATGATGTCGCTCGTTAGTTTAACCAGCGACTGTTTTTCTCACGTTAACCGCTTTCGGACGTCGATCACTTGTTTTAACGCGTGTGGAGGTGCGGTGATGCTTTCCTGGAACTGAAGGTTAATTATGCTGTTATTCCTTCGAAGCGTTGGCTGAGATCCTCAGTGTGAAAGACCCCCCTGGGCGGAAGCTTTATTATGTGCACTATATAGACTGTGAGTATTAACCGTGCATCCTTCACTTCTCTCACAAACACAGTTTACCACATGATTCTGTCATGTTTCTAACTTCAGAGAAAATCTGATTTATTTCCTTGTGAAAGTCAATAAGCGACTGGACGAGTGGGTGACTCCTGACCGCCTGGACTTGAAGAAGCTCCAGTTTCCCAAGAAGGAGGCAAAGACCCCAACGAAGAACGGCCTGTCATCCGTCCCCGGGTCCCCAGAGAGAGATGTGGTGAGAGGCCCTGTCCTGCTCGCTGTCTGTGTGCCGTGTAAACCTTTACTAACCTCTCTTCCTTTCTGTTGTGATTCAGAGGAAGAGTCTAGACCTGTGCGTTCCGGCTGCTTCAGCTCCTTCGAGAGGCAAGACCCTGCCCACACCGGTACTGACCAGCCGCTCGGCACGGATCCGCTCGAAGCAGTGGGCTAGATGTACTTCGACTGGCGAGCAGCTCGAACGCTTAATGTGGTGTAATGTTACAGGATTAGTTCACCAACAAATGAAAGCTCTGTCTTCAGTTACTCGGCCTCGACAGTCTTCAGTGTCACGTGATCTTCAGAAATCATAATAATATGCTGATTTGCTGCTCAATTATTATCAGTTATTATTGGTGCTCAATTAGAAAAAAATTGTTTTTTTCAGAACAGCATTTATTTGAAATTTAAATCTAAAATGTCTTGCTGTCACTTTTGATCAATTTAATGCATCCTTGCTGAATAAAAGTCTTCCTTTGATAATAAGAAATATTTCTTGACCTCCAGATCAGCCTATTATATTGATTTATGAAATATCACGTCACCTGATGACTGCCATCACAGGAATTAATATTTTTTTAAATTATAAAATTATAATTTTTTAAATAATAAGAGACGTCTTTCAAAAATGTGTAAAAATCTTTATTCCATATTTTTGACCGGTTGTGAATATAAAAGCATTTTTGTATTTATCATAACATCATATGTGACGCTGCAGCACAAAAGCAGTGTTAAGTCGCTGGGGTATATTTGTAGCAATAGCCAACAATACATTGTATGGGTCAAAATTATAAATTTTTCCTTTATGCCAAAAATCATTAGGATATTAAGTAAAGATCATGTTCCATGAAGATATTTTGTAAATTTCCTACCGTAAATATATCAAAACTTAATTTTTGATTAGTAATATGCATTGCTAAGAACTTCATTTGGACAACTTTAAAGATGATTTTCTCAATATTTAGATTTTTTTGCTCCCTCAGATTCCAGATTTCAAATATTGTCCTATCCTAACAAACCATACATCAATGGAAAGCTTATTTATTCAGCTTTCAGATGATACAACATGACCCTTATGACTGGTTTTGTGCTCCAGGGTCACATTTATTCTCATCACTCGTTACAAACACTCTCATTATCTCCGTTTTATAATGCGAGGTAAGTGGCTGGATTTCACTCATTTTATTATTATTATCAGAATCAGAAAGGGCTTTAATGCCAAGTTTGTTTGCACATAGACAGAGACAACACCAGCACACGGATAATAAGAAATAAAGATATGTGAATCAACTACATACAACATATGTATGTGTCTGCCTACAGCAGCCGAGCTTAGTGGCAAGCACCACTTTATTCAGAAATGTTAAAAAGAAGAATGATTTTAAGAATGCTCTGTGCTGAGAAAAGGTTGTCCGTCTTTCTGATGGCTGTTTCAGAAGAGGAAAGCAGAGTCTGTGTGTTTGGCCACACAAGTGAGCGCAGCAGTGACTCCAGGGCCTTCTGCAGAGGAGAGCCAGGCCTCGGTGTATCCAGCCCTGAGAGACTCGTCCTTCAGCATCCAGCCGCTCGCCGCTCTCAGCACAGTAAACACCAGCTCTCACAGCTCACACACATGTTCAGAGATTCGTTTGTTATTTCATTCTTTGCTCTTTCTTCTGGAAGAATGGCACCACACGTCGACTTATTCCTCTGCCGCCGGGAAGAAAAAGGAAAACTTGTGGCGGGACGGACGAGGTAGGGCCAGCAGCTCGATTATTTACAGATGTTTTCTCGCACCTTTTTTAATGAAATCAGAAATGATTGAATCCCATGTTATGATTATAAGATGAATACATACTTACAGTTAAACATCACGCTTCCCATTGTTCCTATAAATCTGTTGAATGTGGGAAGATGTGTGAAAAAATCAGTTAAAAAATGTTTGAGTCACATTGTCCCTTAATCGTCAAACGTTTAAAATGTTTTTTTATAAAACGGAGAGTTGCGGTGCTTGATTCTGATTGGCTGAGCCGCGTTTGAAGCTGTTGTAAATTACTCTACAAAGTAACATACACCTTTGTTTACGTTTGTGTGTTGCTCGGCAACCACTTTGTAGCAACCACAACTGTTTCTGAGGAGCTACATTGTTTGGTGGAAGAATACTGTTTTTATTAATATCATTACACTTTATTTGCTCTGTTTTATTTTGTGAAACCTTACTACGTATATGGAATAACCGTTTTATAAAAGCAATAATCCCCGTGAAGCCGTGGTTTACAGTGAATTTATAACAGCTCGTGCCTAACAACGCCCCTTAGCTGTTATAATTCACTGGCTTCTTGGGGCTTATTGCTTTAGTATTCCCTATATCAAGTAAAATGTCCCAAAGCTTTGCATCCACTTGTGTTTTTCTGTTAGATGGTAAAGGTGTTCCAGAATAACGACCCTCGCTGCTCCACCATCTATATGCCGCCAGGAGAGGTCCGGCTCCTTTTCTTCCCATTGCCTTTATTGTGTTTCTGATCAAGTGGAGGCATAGGGCTTCTAGACAAAGTGTGCAGCTTTAGCTCAAAATCCACTGGATCTTGTAAATGCAAAAAATGGTCTTTTTAGGCATGAATCCAAGAGTGAAGCCTCTTTGCAGTATAGAGATCTGTTCTAAATGCATAGGTCCTGCACTGCTGTTGGATGCTGTAGCACAGTGTCTGTGATTGCTCTCAGGATTCCCAGGACAGCTCCGATGGCATCCCGTCAGCCCCTCGCATGACCGGCAGTCTGGTGTCGGACCGCAGTCACGATGACATCGTCACACGCATGAAGAACATCGAGTGCATCGAGCTGGGCCGGCACAGGCTGAAGCCATGGTACTTCTCTCCGTACCCGCAGGAGCTCACCGGACTCCCCATCCTCTACCTGTGCGAATACTGCCTCAAGTACCTCAAGAGCCTCAAGTGTCTGCAGAGGCACCTGGTGAGAGCCAGACAACACCGTCAGCATCACATACGAGTGCCGTCTCAGCAAATCCGCACTAAAGTCTTCAGATCGGTTCCGTATGTTTTTGAGGCATATAAGGGGAAGTAGCTCAAACGGGCTTAGCCTGTAACTCTGTTGTTGAATTGCTGGTGTCCTTTATTTGTGCAGGTCAAACTATTCTTACAGTTCAGTTTGTCAAGCTAGCTGATGTCATTAAATTCAGTCTAATGAGACGTTTCCAATCAGTAAAGCGAAGCTTAATTGTGACCCTGGAGCACAAAAGCAGTGTTAAGTCGCTGGGGTATATTTGTAGCAATAGCCAACAATACGTTGTATGGGTCACAATTATACATTTTTCTTTTATGCCAAAAATCATTAGGATATTAAGTAAAGTAAAGTAAAGATGTTCCATGAAGATATTTTGTAAATTTCCTACTGTAAATATATCAAAACTTAATTTCCTAACAAACCATACATCAATGAAAGCTTATTTATTCAGCTTTCAGATGATGCATAAATCTCAATTTCGGAAAATTGACCCTTATGACTGGTTTTGTGCTCCAGGGTCACATTTATAAAAATAGATATTTATATTGTTATATTTTTAAGGTTGGTTATTTAAAAATGATACGATTTTTTTAATTTGCCTCCTACATTTGTTGTTTTCTGCTGGCAAGCACCTGAGCCCAGACGCATGAAACGAGAAGCTCGAGTCTTGCACTGATGACTCTCACCTGTCCGTTACATTCACAGACGAAATGCAACCTCCGACACCCGCCAGGAAACGAGATCTATCGTAAAGGAACTATATCCTTTTTTGAGATTGATGGCAGGAAAAACAAGGTGGGTAACCTCTACTTCGTGATGATTAATGATTAGAACTGACTGATCAGACAGAAGCTGTTCAACACTGGAGCAAGGACTGGATTGTGAGGCGCTTATTTGTAGAAATACATTTGACCTTTTTTTTCTTTCCTCCAACCGCACAGTCATATTCCCAAAACTTGTGTTTATTGGCCAAATGCTTCCTGGACCACAAGACCCTGTACTATGACACGGATCCTTTCCTCTTCTATGTTATGACCGAGTATGACTCGAAGGGTTTCCACATAGTCGGCTACTTCTCCAAGGTAAAGCAGAGGTCTGCTGTCATTAGTATGAAATATTGGAACCTAAATAGACCACAATTTTATTCAGAGGTGTGTTTCACTGATGCATTTAAGATTGTTTTTTTGTCTTGTTAATTGTATGACTTTTGTTATTTATCGTTTTTGCCATGAAGATAGCCTTGCTTGTATGATAGCATTGTGTTTTTATAGTCTGTGCTTTCCTCCCGTTAAAGGAAAAGGAATCAACAGAAGACTATAATGTGGCCTGCATTTTGACTTTGCCGCCTTACCAGAGAAGAGGCTACGGCAAACTACTGATTGAGTTTAGTGAGTAATCGTACAGTTATTTTGTGCGCATAAAAATGTGATCATAGAATGATTAAAAAGTATTAAGCAGACCTTCTCTAATGCCAAGTCGTGAGTGAGTGTTTGTTTGTGTGTGTGAGGTTATGAGCTCTCGAAAGTGGAAGGGAAGACAGGCACTCCAGAGAAGCCTCTGTCTGATCTGGGTCTGCTCTCCTACCGCTCTTACTGGACGCAGACGATCCTGGAGATCCTCATGAACCTCGAGCCAGAGGATGGAGAACGGCCACAGATCACCATCAAGTAGGTGCCGCCATCTTTCTGAAACTCAGCCTCACTTCAGTTTTATCGACAAGCCAAAAATCTGAACCAAGAAGCGTATTTGGGTGAATCTTAGTCTCACTTTTTTTTTGCATAAATAATATAAAGCCTTTTTGTACCATTAATATTTTTGCATTATGGCATCATTTTTGTGAGTGTTATCATACACGCAGTGTTCTCTGCCATGTGTACACCGCTCGCTTTACAGTGAATGCAGTGCACTTCACGTGTTCAGTTTAATGTGAGTTTAGGAGCGCAGTGTGCAGCAGTTATGCTCTCACATCATTTGTTCATTTTAATCTTCTAAACTAAATAAAGCAGTAAGCCCCAAGAAGCCAGTGAATTATAACAGCTAAGGGGCGTTGTTAGGCACGAGCTGTTATAGATTCACTGTAAACCACGGCTTCACGGGGATTATTGCTTTTATAAAACGGTTATTCCATATACGTAGTACGGTTTCACAGAATAAAACGGAGCAAATAAAGTGTAATGATATTAATAAAAACAGTATTCTTCCACCAAACAATGTAGTTCCTCAGAAACAGTTGTGGTTGCAACAAAGTGGTTGCCGAGCAACACACAAACGTAAACAAAGGTGTATGTTACTTTGTAGAGTCATTTACAACAGCTTCGAACGCGGCTCAGCCAATCAGAATCAAGCACCGCAACTCTCCGTTTTATAATGGCAATTTTACTACTGTAAAGTAAAAGAAAATACAGTAATACAAATATATGTATTATGATTTTTTTTTTTTGCAGTGGATTTATATTCCAGTAGTAATGTTTGTGTCTTAATGTTGTTGTTGGTATTATTTTATAATCTCACTGACTAAAATTTTATGCTCTTAATATTGTGACTATTTATTTTTACCTTTGGTATTAAAAATGGTATTGGATATCAGTATTTTAAGACGTTATACCCGCAAGACATTAAATCGCAAGCATACATCATGGTAAGATTTGTTGTACGGCCTTTAGTTTATGCAGATTTTAATCAAATTGTCTAGAACTGATGATTCCCATCACAATAATGAGGATCTAATGATTAACTTTAGTTTTTTTTTTCTCATAAAGAATGTTCTCTTGATTTTGGGGTTGAATATGACCCAAACATTTCTTCCTGAGATTTACCCAGCTCCAATATGGCTCAGTGGTTTTAATAAAGCATTTAAAGGGATAGTTCACCCAAACATGAAAAATACCCCGTGATTTACTCACCCTCGAGGCATCCTAGCTGTGTATGACTTTCTTCTTTCAGACGAATCCAGTCGGAGTTATATTAAAAAATGTCCTGGCTCTTCCAAGCGTTATAA